AGCCCAACGGACTCTGCGGTTTGTCGTCGCTGACCGCGCCACCGGTCGAGCCCGTGCTCGTCGGGAATCCCCAGGGTGTTTTCGAGGTGTCCGCCCCGCTGCCGGAGAGCCACGGGTGCAGCACCGAGCTGTGAAAGTGCGGCCGACAGACCTGGCTCACCGGCCCGCTCGTCACGCCGCTGCTCGACATCCTTGCTGGAAGAACGGACAGAAAAGCGAACGCGATTAGACGATTCTTGCACGGTTCCACGTTTTCGGTCTCTCGATCTCGACGGATTCGAGCCGATCCGTGAAAGGCGATCGCGACCGATCCGACTCGTTCCGGACGAAAATGGACAACGCGAGATCTCTCGTAACGACGATCGTTCGCCCGCTAAAAGGAACTTGATTCGCGCGCGTGCACGGACTATGATCGGGTTTTACGGCGATCTCAGCGACACCCGATCGCGACGAACGTCTTAATTGCGCGCGAGGTTCGCGCTACCGTCGCGTATATCTTCCGGGTACGATCGCTGTGGGGAACGAGCCTTCGATTCGCCGAACGGAAATTGCCGGCGGTAGATTCGAAACGCGTCGAGTCGACCAAGCCGATGAAGGCACGCGATCGATGCGTCCACCGGTTGTTCTTGCTCCGCCACCTCGGCGGCATACGCTGATAACGGGAAAACGTTTTGCCAAACTCCACCTCGTCCCTTCCATTTCGGCTTCTCCCCTTTCTAGAAATTTTTCCGAAGAAAGTCGTACGAGGGGATGCGTTGTCGAGGTACCGCGGAAAGCGCGTCTAAATATAGAATCGCGGAACGAGCAGCTGCAGTCTCGCGGGATTAATCGAATGCGCCGATGACCCCGGTGTAATTGGATCTAGCTCGTTACAGCGACGCGCCGACGGAAAGTAAACGCGTATCTCCGTCGTGATCGTACGATTCGCAAAATGTCCGCCTCGATTTGGAAAATGTTGGTCGATACGAAGCGAAAGAGTACAAGCTGGAACGGAAAGGGAAACAAAACGACGAACGAAGCCTGGCGAAGGAAGAAACGACGAGATGAGCCACTTCGCACTCCATACGCGGCAAAAACTTCCATGCTAAGGGATATTTATCATCCTGTTGCCTCCCGCTTCCTTTCCTCTTGGACCCCCAACTTCGAGTTCGCTCTTTCTCGGAACTTTTTTGCCAGACGCCTCGTTTTTCTTTTCGCTTTCTTTCCCCGCTCTTACGCGTCCCGTTATCTCGACGATTTTAGCCGTAGGCGACCGGCGAACTCTAGCGACGATCGAAATAATTAAAGTCGATCGGAAGAAAATGGACGGCCGAGAGGGCCACGTAGATCGAAAACGATCGGGATACATAAATCGGTCGTTCAACGCGGCACGCGTGCCCTCGTAAATTTCGACGGGGAAGTTGGCAAACGGCGCGACGTCGATGGAAAACGAAGAAAAAGCCGGGGAGACGAGGTCTCGTTAAGGCAGGAGGAGCTCCTTAGGCGTCGATTCCCAAGGCGATCGTTTCGAAACAGGTCGGCTCTAATATGGCGCCGCTTTTCCAACGTTAGCTTTTTTACTTCTTTTTCGCCGTCGCGAACTTCCACCATTCCGATGCTAACGAATTTCTTCCCCGGCAGTTCGCGAACGTTGCGTTCTAGAAAGTGGATCGTTGTGTAGCAGGACACCGTAATAATCTCGCGAAGGTCCGAACAAGCTGTCGCCGTAATTGAAAAGAAAATTCACGCGAGTACGACGATTCCTCGAGGAGAACCTGTTTCCACCGAACGCGAACGAATTTCGCGATCTTGATCGAACTCGTTAATCGGTTACTCGATCGCGACGACTCCGGAACGAGACCGCGCGCCCACGCTCGTTGAAAATATTCGTTCCGATAAGCCGGTGCTACGACATTCCAGCCGTTAACGCGATAATTGACCGGGTGTATCGAGATCACGATACGAAACGCGAGGGAAAATTCATTGGTCGTTTCCGCGCGAAAACTGACCCTGAAATTCGCGTAACGCGCGCCTCGAAACAACGTACGTTTCGTCCGACTCTAAAGAAGAGAGGGAGAGAGAGAGAGAGGGAGAAAAAAAAATTTGGACGCGGTAAATTTGCAGGGAAGACGGGAAATTGTATCTCGCGGTCGAATTAATTCGCGAGTGAATGGAGAGTTCGCGCGACGGTATCTCCGTTTGGTCAGCATTCGACATCAAAGCGGCCACTCCAAATAATTAGCCGCGAGCCCCGAGCGTCGCCAACTCCGCTCCGTGCTGCTGCTTCGCTTTTGTGCGAGGCGTCGCGCGAAGCGGTTCAAAGGCTCGAAAGGATTCAAAGCGACGGGCGCTTTGAAAAGGACGAGCCACTCGGAACGGACAGGGAATAAAAAACGAGAAGCCGTCGGGATACTAATTTCTTCCTAATGCGGCTGCGCTCCTGAATTTTTTATTCGGTAAGCGGTTACGCGTTACCTATCGCCGCTACCGAGACGCTCTTACGAAAGGAAGATGCAAATTATCGCGCCTAACTTCGAACGCGTTGTAATCGTCTCGACACGAATTAAGCTATTAAACGATCTACCTTTCCACTTTCCACGCGTCTCGCTCGCTCGTTTATACGATACCGGCGAATTCTTTTTACAAAATAATTATGCGAACGCGCGCGCCAGTAAATTGAACATTCGCCCGTTCGCGGTACGAGTCGAGCGCTGTATCGTGTTTTTTTCGGACTTAAAAGCGCGTAAACGAAAGCGTGAGTCAGCGTAGAACCGTCTGGCCGGAATACGAGCGTACCAGCCGCGACGATAATGCAACTAATAAGTTTCCTTATAGGTGGATAATTGTTTCGTTACCGCTTCGTGTCTGAACAGACGGTATAAATCGACCTTAAACGCGACCGTTTCATTCACGGCGAGTCGGTCTCGGAGAAAATCGCGTCGAGAAAGGAAATCGCGTGAATTATGCGCGACTCGTTGGTATTCCGAGGAACGAGCGCGTAGCAGCAACGTTTCCAACGCCGTTTTCTAGAGCCCCCCGTCTAATTATTCTCTCGTTACGTCGCTTGTTTCTCGAGTAAGCCATCGAGCAACTCGACGATTAAACCGTGCGCGTACGCGACGACTCTCCTTGGACGGTCCTCCGGATTCGAAGTTCGTCGAACGCTACCGATCGATCTCTTTCAGTCCTGTCTCTTTTCCTCTCGGTAAACGCGCGCGTCAAGATCAAACACGGTAATTTTCGTAACGAACGCTTCGATGCCGCGGCACATCGTAAATCGTCGAATTACGATGGAAAATAAAAACGCGAGAAAAAGCTAAGAAAGTGTATCGATCGGGTCGAGTAAAACCACGTCTCCGTAATCAAATTCACGACGCACACGAAATTCCAGAAGAAAATAACGTCTCATTTCGTCGACCGCCACTAGCAGCTTTCTCGTAATAACATGCAATTTCCTCCTTCGTACGCTTCTTCGAGGTTTACCTATTCCTTTTTTTCGTTGCCCGACGGCGCTCTTTAGCGGTCCACGATTATTTACGAGACGAAAGAAAAAATGTACGACAGGCCGAATACCCGTGACATCCTGTCGCGTCGCGATTCTACTGCTCAACTTCGACCTTTTCCACTGTCCTTCCCGAGTCCTCTCGTATCGCGTATTTTCCTGATAAACGGAAAAGTTCGCCACGAATATACGAGAGTACCGTAACGAATTATTTTGGCGGAATTTTCGTGTCTCGCGGGGGAATCGCGACGAGTGCGGGAAAAATCCGTGAACGGAGGCCGTGGCATCGCGACATCGAGAAGAGGCTACCGACTCGAAACGACGAGGTCGGAGAACAGAGAGCGAGAGAATACGAGAAGGTAGGAGAAGAGAGGAGAGGGGAAAGGATCAACAACGAGGAGTAAGATTGATCGCGGTGAAGCTGCATCGCGAGTTGCATCTGCCGCGCGCGCGAGAGACTCGCGGGGGGAAAAGACAGACGGACAGACGGAGAGAAAGAGAGAGGGTGGGAAGACGAACGTACCGAGAAAGAGAGCGAGAGAGCGAGAGAGAGCCCTGGGGAGAGGCTCCGCCTTCGGTTGGCGTGTGCATTTGCGCAAGATGGCGGCGGTCGCGGGTTTTGCACGACCTATGCGCCGCGCTCGAGCGCCGGATCCTCTTCTTGGTCGCGTAGAGCCGCG